ATACTATGTTTGTTAGTTGAACAATCATTTTTGTTACCATTGAATAATTGAAATAGTCAATTTTCACTTTTTTCAATTTTGTTTTATGTTTTCACGTTGCAATGTACATGTTTACATTGGTAAGAGTTATTTTTTTTAAGGCTAGTTATATGTTAATTATAAATTGTGAACATTCACATTGTATTTTGGTATGAATTTTATTTTTTCGAAGGTTATTGTATGTTTGTTATTTATTGTGAACATTCACGTTAGACTTTAGTATGTGTTTTGTTTTTTCAAAAATTAATTGTATATTTGTTATTTACCGTGAACATTCACATTGTATTTTGATTTTCATTTAGATTTTTTGTTGCGTTACTTTTACAATTTTAAAATTATAAAAATGTTAAAAATTCAAAATTTGAGATTTTCTCCATAGAATGCGGGAGAGACTTTTTCTTTAGAATAAGGGAGAGAATTTCTCCATGGAATAAGAGAAAGACTTTCTCTTTAGAATAAGAGAGATATTTCTCCATAAAATGAGGAACTATTATTATGTATTAGTTTTAAAATAGAAACATATGTAAAAAAAAAATTAGAAATGATGATTTGGTCATATTACATTAAACAAACTTAACGAAATACTCAAAAAGAATATGGGTTAAATGAAATAAAATACATAAAAAGAGAATTTATCAGAAAAACTAAAATAAAAAATAATTTTAAATCAAAATATAATAAAATTTTAACTAATTGAATAGTACTGTTCGAAGGTTGATGGGCTCATTAAATGCTATTGTTGATCCAAGCAATTGTCACCCAAACAATTGTCTATTGACAAGGATTATATATGCAAAAATGATCCAAACCCCCTCTCCCCACCCCCCCCCACCACCCGTGGGGGTTGGTGACTGGAGGAAAAAAAAAAAAACAAAAAAAAAAAACTGGTAAATGGGGACCCAGTGGGGGTCGTAGGGGTGACCCCCTGTGGGTGGGACGGGGCCAGGGATTACATTCTTCGTACTTGATCCTAGAATGTAAAAAACTTTCCATTCTCGCCCTTGATCACCAGCGGGAAACCCATCACCCCCCATTCCCGCCCCCTAACAGGGATAGGGTTTCCCCGACCCTGAAAAATCCCCGACCAATTTTTTTTTGGGTTTTGTTTTGAGGTAAAAGGAAGAATAGATATACAAAGATACATAGATATACACAGATATATAATCCAATCTTGAGTGCAAGAACAGATATACAAAGATACATACATTCACATACACACACGTAGAGGTTGTGCTCATCCTTCAGTCATATGATCTAAACACTAAACAAACAGTAATAAAAAAACAAAAAACAGAGAAGAAATAGAGATGAGAGAGAGAGAGAGAGATATGTATATACTACTACTACAACAACAACAATAATAGTAAATGTCTTCAAAAAAATGTTTATAAAATGTACAGAAATTGATCTTACTTCACAAATCCTTGAATCCAAACTCAGTATCCTTATATTTGTTAAAAAAAAACACAGATCTGAGCCTAAGATCTTGATATTGTAGAGAGAATGGGAGGACGAGCGGCTGGATATGAGCTAAATTACGGCGGCGAAGAGATTGACAAAGGCGAGTTTGGTGTCGGTGGGGTCTTTTCATGGCGTTCGATCACTCTGAGATTGGTGGTGATAGGAGGAGGGAGAGGAGGACAACGAATGGAGAGAGATTGGCAGTGAGGGAAGGTTTTGGAGAGAGAGAGAAACCGAGAGAGAGATGAGAGGTGGTGTAACTATCTTAGGGTTTGGTTATATATATATATAGAGAGAGAGGGGTATGATAACAATTTTACATCGGGGACGGGGATGGGGACGGACCGGGGCTGGGGCTGGGGAACGTATCACCGTCCTCGGCCCAGAATTTGTCAGGGATTCATTTTCGAATACCATCCCCGGCTCGTTGAGGGTATTTTTCAGGAAAAAATCGTTCGAATCGGGGTCGGGTTCAAATTGCCATCCCTAATTATCATGGCATGAATTAGGTGGTCAGTAATTTCCTAAGTGATGTGTTTTGTGGCGTCTCTTTCAAAAAACATCAGTGATTGGTAGCTCTAAAAGTAGAGCTCTAAACAAAGCTCCACTGAGCTGCAGCTTCAAAAAAAGAAAAAAAAAAAAAAAAAAAGGAGTCAAGCCAAAACATCCCATCAAGATGGAACTGTAACAACCCCGACCCATGAATAATGTTAATCCATGCTTAATTATGCCCAATGAGTAATTAAAGTGAATTTTGCATCATATATTGCCTTATTTGTGTTTATATCTGTTTTACGTAGAAAGATCTGTTCATGTTTCGTTTCGGTTTGCGAATTGAAGGTCTTATCGACATTCGATTCAGAAATTGACTTGATTTATGTGTTAATTAGAAATTTTAGAATTTTATGGTGGGTTTAATTGAAATTCGATTCGGAACGATTAAATTGGAATCATTTAATGTCCACTTGATTAGTTTGATCAATAATTAATTAAACTCCTTAACCAAGCCTCTATAAGGCTAGTAAGTGCATTAACTCTTTTTTTTTTTTTTTTACACATCTTTGAGCCTATTCAACTGACAAAACGTGAGAGAGAGCAAGAGAAAGAAAGAGACCAAGAGTGAGAGTTTGATATCAACACTTGTGGTTGGGAAGAATTTGCTAGAATTGAAGGACAACTTCGAAATTCAAGAATCAAGCTTCTAGCTCTCATCTTGACAAGCCTAGGTAAGAATTCAACCCTTAGAATGAACAATTATGAGGTGTAAGACATAAACTCTAGAGATTTTAGTTGATTAATGTAAGAATTGAATTAGAGATGAAGAGAATTAAACCATACCATGCATGCATGCATATTTCATAGCATTTTGAAGTTGTTTTCAAAGATTTCCTCTCATGCATGTTGTAATTCTATCATGGTTTAAAGAATTCATAACATTTCTCACCATTGGACCTTATTTGATCATGTTTTGGAAGCCATGAAATTAAGTGAATATATGCATGTCATGTCCATATCATGTTCTTACATTTCAAGTTGGATTTTGCACAATTGACATGCTTTTGGGCCTTAATTTTCATGAAATGATCTTTAAATCATGATATTTTACAAGTTCCTAAATGATTTCTAGAATTTTGGCCCAAGAAAATAAGTTTTGAGGTGTGGAATTCGAGTTGGAGCTTGAGAGTACAATATGGAAATTCCAAATTCAGCACTTCCGCTTGAGCGACGAATTCCGTGCTTGAGCGACCACCTTTGATTTTGTACATCCACTCGAGCGACCTGAAGTATGCTCGAGTGTGAAATGCATGCTCCCAGAAGTTTGCATGTTTTGCAGACCACTCGACCGGCAAAAGTTGAGCTCGAGCGAGAGCATGAGTCTCACGCTCGAGCGAGAATTGAGCAGCTATCGAGCAGAGATTTCACACAACCAGTACTTTTGCAAAGTTTATAGACCGCTCGAGCGGGGGAATTCACGCTCGAGCGTCCCTTCATATGTTTTCATGTCCGCTCGAGCGTAGGAAGTTACTTTCGAGCAGGGACCCCTATTTTTAGCATTTTGACCAAGTGTTTTCAAGTGCATTTTGACATCCTCATTGCATCTTAGGTATTCCTAGGCCAAGATTAAGACCCCATAATAAGGATAAGAAGTAGAGACACACCAAGATAAGAAAGAATTAAGTAATGTTCCCAGGTGCGTAATTCAGTACGTGTTCATTTTGTAACTGTGTAGGTCACGCACCACAAGACGCCTGATTTGCCCATTCTGTCTATTTGCCTTGAAGCCATCTGTTAATTGTGAGTAATAACCTTGTAAAGTTATGTTACTTACAAGTATTTTCTGACTGATATGATATGATCTGTTCTTTGAAATGCTATTTGTGAATCATGAATGAATATCCATTTTTCTGAAATATATTTGTGGCATCCATAGTTCATGTGGCCCTTGCCTGGGGGTAACAATACCATGGCTGATATGCACGTGGCCCTCGCCCTGGGGTAACAATACTGTGGCTTATGTTCACGTGGCCCTTGCCCGAGGGTAATAATACTGAGGCCTACATTCATGTGGCCCTTGTCTGGGGGTAACAATACCATGGCTACTTGTGCACAAGATGTGGACCTTTATGGTCGTAGGTACCGACTATACACGTGAGTCTCAGGACCAAGTTGATGTGATAGCTAATGGATGTACCACCTATAACTGTTATGATTTTCAGATAAGTATGTGAATCTGAATTTATTTTTGATTTGAGATTTGAATATGCATAAGAATCTGTGTTTTGATATAAACTCTGTTTTCTAACTCTAAGATGGATATCATTCATTAAATTCTTTACGTTGTTATTATTCATTGGGCTTCCGCTCACTCTAGTATTTATGTACGTAGGTGACCAAGCACGTGATCAGGGCCAGAGTTGATGGCCTAGGATTTCGTTTTGTCAGCCACCCTTTGCGCTTCCCGAGGAGGTTCCGGAGCAAGTCAAGTCGTGTTGCCATGTCTTTTTGAACGTTCAATACTTTGTTTTCTCTTGTTTAATGAATAGTTTGTTTTTGGTTATCTGTTCATGGGGTGACGCATAATTACTGTATCTATGTGACGTCATATGTATGCTTATAAAGTTTGACATTATTTTGTCCCATGTCTGTCAGCTCAATGGACATTGTATTTTGTATATTTGCTTCCGTAGTCCCTTGATTATACGTCATTCTGTTTAGAGGCCTTTGGTAATCCAAGGATTACTGGCCGGTTGCGATGCTAAACATATAGGGACGGGTTTGGGTTGTGACAGAGTGATATCAGAGCACGTGTTCTACCCCACACACAAGTCCATATGAGCTTAGGATGTCCTAGTAAGAAGTAGGGGCATTCCATCTGCATGTGTGAGTGTATGGTAATCTATATAAATATGAAAACTGAATTTGAATTTGGGCAAAAAAATTGAAAAGAAATGAACGAGATTATTCTTAAGTTTATTATTATTTGGTGTTTCTATAGCAACATGGAGAACGCAAGGGGAAATGACACAAGTGAATCCTCGGAGGCTCGTATGAGCCAAATGGAACAGATGCTTGTTGCATTGACTGAAGCCATGACGCAACAACTAAGACAACAACCTTTGCCTCCTCCGCCTCCGCCAGTACTAGTTGAACCGGACAATAACGACATCATCAATTTGACTAAGAAATTTATGAAAATGAAACCACCGACCTTCTTGGGTGGCATTGAACCATTGAAGGCAGAAACCTGGTTACTAGAAATGGAAAAATTATTCGTAGTATTCCTTTGCTCTGTAACTCAGAAAGTACTTTTGGCTACCTACACCCTAAAGGATGAAGCCCGGAGATGGTGGCTGTCGGTTCGAAATAACAACGGGGACATGACGTTGGCACAATTCAATGAGATATTCTACAACAAGTACTTTCCCCAATGCTTCAGGGATCGAAAAGTTTCTGAATTCCAAGAACTTAAGCAAGGGAAGATGTCCGTAGCTGAGTACGAGGCTAAGTTCACCGAGTTGGCCAGATTTGCTCCTCATATGGTGGACATGGATTATAAGAAAGCATGAAAGTTCGAGGGAGGACTAGATTTGGAAATATTTGGTCGAGTAGGCTTCCTGAAATTGCCTACTTATGTGGAAGTGCATGACAAGGCATTGATGGTAGAAGCCATAATAGCAACCAAGAAACAAGCTATAACTCTAACGACAGAATGGAGAAGTAAAAGATCCGGATTCCATTTTAAGAAGGGCCGATCATTTTTGAAGAAGAAAAACACAGGATCTTCTAATAGCTCTAGTCAAAGTAGCGGATCTATTCTAAACTATCCCGACTGCGGAAGGAAGCATAAAGGTGCATGTTATCGTGCATCAGGTGCGTGTTTTCGATGTGGCAAGACTGGCCACATGGTTAGGGATTGCCCGATGAGATCCAATGAGGTTAACCATCTTGTGGCAAGTTTAGCTGGGTTTGTTTCTGCAGCAAGATCAAATGCAAGAACTAATGCCAGGGGTAACACTGACAATGAAACGTTGAGACAAGGGAGAGTGTTCACACTAGTGCCCGGAGATGTACAGAACACCGAGTCTGTGGTTTCAGGTATAATTTCTATTTGTGCCCAGAATGCATATGTCTTGATAGATTTTGGTTCTATACACTCATTTGTGTCGCATGCCTTTTCTCGAAAACTAACTAGACCCTTAGAATCCATGAATTATTTATTGTCTGTATTTACGCCATCTGGGGGTTCTATGGTATTTGCATATGTATATCCAGCATGTGATGTTTTGATTGGTGATATAACATTGTATGTTGATTTGCTGCATTTGAGCATTGACCACTTTGATTGCATATTGGGTATGGACTGGTTAACGAAGTATTGTGCATCTATTGACTGTGTAAATAAATATGTTGTATTTCATCCACCTGGTATGCCTGAGTTTGTTTTCACTGGAAACGGAGTAGTCTCTCCCCCATACTTGATTTCGGCTATGAAAGCTGTTAAATTGCTTAGGAAGGGATGTAGGGGCTACTTGTGTTGTGCATTGACTGCATCATCTGATGGTAATAATGTGGAAACTATTCCTGTTGTTTGTGAATTTCCCGATGTGTTTCCGAATGACTTTCCTAGAGACTTAGTTGATAGGGAAATTGAGTTCACTATTGAAGTGACACCGGGAACGCAACCAATTTCTAAGACCCCTTACAGAATGTCAACCTCAAAACTAAAAGAATTGAAAGTCTGACTTCAAGAATTGTTAGACAAGAAATTCATCCGTCCGAGCACTTCACCTTGGGGTGCTTCAGTCCTGTTTGTTAAGAAGAAGGATGGATCCTTGAGATTATGTATAGATTACTGGGAATTGAATAAAGTAACTGTGAAGAACAAATATCCACTACCTCGAATAGATGACCTATTTGACCAACTCCAAGGGGCCCAAGTGTTTTCTAAGATTGACCTGAGATCTGGGTACCATCAGTTAAAGGTCAAGGCAAAAGACATAGAGAAAACTGCATTCAGAACTAGGTATGGGCAATATGAATTTTTAGTAATGCCATTTAGGGTAACTAATGCACCTGCGGCGTTCATAGATTTAATTAATAGGGTGTTCAAACAATTCCTGGATGAATTTATTATTGTCTTTATTGATGATATACTGATTTATTCTAAAAGCAGGGAAGAACATGAGAACCACCTTAGAACTACCCTACAGATTTTAAGAGAAAATAAGTTGTATGCAAAATTATCCAAATGTGAATTTTGGTTTGATAGTATGGCATTTTTGGGACATGTAATTAGCAAGGACGGTATCTCTATTGACCCTCAGAAAATTAAAGCCATTATGACTAACTAACGTGTTAGAAATGAGAAGCTTTTTGGGACTTGCAGGTTATTATCGCAGATTTGTGAAAGACTTTTCAAAACTTGCTATGCCATTACCACAGCTAACACAGAAAAACGTACCATTTGATTGGAATGATCAGCGTGAATCAGCTTTTCAAAAGTCGAAAACTAGCTTAGTAATTACATCGATTTTGACTTTTCTTAATGGTACCGATGGGTTTCAGATTTACAGTGATGCATCCTACAAAGGCTTGGGTTGTGTATTAATGCAAAATGGTAAGGTGATCACCTATGCTTCTCGGCAACTCCGACCACATGAAAAGAATTACCCGATTCATGATCTTGAACTAGTAGCTATGGTGTTTGCTTTGGAAATTTGGCGCCATTATCTATACGGAGTAACTTGTGAAGTGTATACTGATCATAAAAGCTTAAAATACTTCTTTACCCAAAAAGAATTGAACATGAGACAGAGAAAGTGGCTAGAATTGATCAAAGACTATGATTTGAAGATTTTGTATCATCCGAGAAAAGCTAATACTGTGGGAGATGCCTTGAGCCGAAAGTCAATGGAAAATTTGTCATGTTTGCTCACTGGTCAAAAAGAATTGTTATGTGACTTGGAAAAGAATGATATTGAGGTTGTAGTGCGAGAACAAGGTGGAATCTTAGCTGTTATCTCCACCCAGCCTGCAATTATTGAAGAGATTAAAGAGAAACAACGCGAAGATGAGTTTTTGAGGAAAATTGTTGATGAGATTGATTCAAAATCGAAATCAGGATTTGTGCTTGACAATGATGTGTTGAAATTCTAGAATCGCTTTTGTGTGCTGAATTGTTTTGACTTGAGGAAACGCATCATGATTGAAGCTCACAATTCAAAATTTGTTATACATTTGGGAAATATGAAAATATATCATGACTTGAAACGGAATTTTTTGTGGCCAGGAATGAAAAGTGTATTGCAGACTTTGTGGCTAGATGTCTATACTCCCAACAAGTTAAAGCCGAACATCAATGACCCACTGGGTTACTACAACCGCTTCCAATACCGGAATGGAAGTGGGAACATATTACTATGGACTTCATTGTGGGATTACCTCGCTTTCCTCTAGGTATGGATTCTATCTGGGTAATTGTTGATCGTTTAACTAAATCTGCACATTTCTTACCTATTAAATCATTGTATAATGCGGATAAGTTGGCTAACTTGTATATTAATGAGATTGTGAGATTGCATGGAGTTCCAGTGTTCATAGTATCTAATAGAGATCCCAAGTTTACTTCAAGATTCTGGCAGAGTTTGCAACAGGCTTTGGGGATTGAGTTGAGATTAAGCAATGCTTATCATCCAAACAGATGGCCAATTTGAACGGACCATTCAAACATTGGAAGACAAGTTACGAATGTGTGTGTTAGACTTTCAAGGCAATTGGGAGACTTACCTTCCTTTAGCCGAATTTGTGTACAACAACAGCTATCATTCAAGCATTGGGATGGCTTCTTACGAAGCTTTGTATGGTAGAAAATGTCGATCTTCGATATGTTGGGCCGAGGTAGGTGATAGACCTTTGTTGGGACCAGAACTGGTACAAGAAACAACTGAAAATGTGAAATTGATTCAACAAAGATTGAAAACTGCACAAAGCCGCCAAAAGAGTTATGCTGATGTCCGAAGAAGAGACATAGATATATGAAGTCAGGGATCACGTATTTATCAAAGTAACTCCGATGAAGGGCCAAACGCGGTTTGGGGTGAAAGGCAAGTTAGCACCGAGATATGTTGGACCGTATGAGATCCTTGAGAAAATTAACCCGGTGACATGTCGGGTAGCCTTACCACTAGTTATGGGGCATATGCATGACATCTTTCATGTCTCAATGTTATGGGATTACTTACGAGATCTGTTACATGTTATTAAGCCGACACATGTGCTTTTGAAAGACGACTATACCTATGAGGAGAGGCCAATTCAGATCGTGAACCGTAGAATCAAAAGATTGAGGAACAAGGAAATTCCATTAGTGAAAGTTGATTGGAAAAATCATGGAGGGAGTTATGCTACATGGGAAACGGAAGAAGATACAATGAAGAGATATCCGGGCTTATTTTCGTTGGACCCGACATTCTTCCAAAACGAAGGTAACTCGAGTTTGAAGGACCAAACTTCTTAAGGGGGGAAGACTGTAACAACCTCGACCCATGAATAATGTTAATCCATACTTAATTTTACCCAATGAGTAATTAAAGTGAAATTTTGCATCATATATTGCCTTATTTTTGTTTATATCTGTTTCACGTAGAAAGATCTGTTCATGTTTTTGTTTCAATTTGCAAATTGAAGGCCTTATCGACATTCGATTCAGAAATTGACTTGATTTATGTATTAATTAGAAATTTTATAATTTTATGGTAGGTTTAATTGAAATTCGATTCGGAACGATTAAATTGGAATCATTTAATGTCCATTTGATTAGTTTGATCAACAATTAATTAAACTTCTTAACCAAGCCTACATAAGGCTAGTAAGTGCATTAACTCTTTTTTTTTTTTTTTTTTTACACATCTTCGAGCCTATTCAACAGACAAAACGTGAGAGAGAGCAAGAGAAAGAAAGAGACCAAGAGTGAGAGTTTGATATCAACACTTGTGGTTGGAAAAAATTTGCTAGAATTGAAGGAATTGGATTCTTGACAAGCCTAGGTAAGAATCCAACCCTTAGAATGAACAATTATGAGGTGTAAGACATAAACTCTAGAGATTTTAGTTGATTAATGTAAGAATTGAATTAGAGATGAAGAGAATCAAACCATACTTTGCATGCATGCATATTTCATAGCATTTTGAAGTTATTTTCAAAGATTTCCTCCCATGCATGTTGTAATTCTAGCATGGTTTAAAGAATTCATAACATTTCTCACCATTGGACCTCATTTGATCATGTTTTGGAGGCCATGAACTTAAGTGAATATATGCATGTCATGTTCATATCATGTTCTTACATTTCAAGTTGAATTTTGCACAATTGACATGCTTTTCGGCCTTAATTTCATGAAATGATATTTAAATCATGATATTTTACAAGTTCCTAAATGATTTCTAGAATTTCGGCCTAAGGAAATGAGTTTTAAGGTGTGGAATTCGAGTTAGAGCTTGAGAGTGCAATATGGAAATTCCAAATTCTGTACTTCCGCTCGAGCGACGGATTCCGTGCTCGAGCGGCC